CCTAGTTCTATATTATTAATTCGTGTTGAATCGCTTGTTATTTTGTTGATAATGTATACTTTTGAGTTAAGTTCAATGCTTTCTGATCTCACTAGTTCCCCCAGTTGTGATGTTGATCCGTTATAAATTCAACATGAACATACTAGAATCAACGGATCTATCACAACCAAACAGTAATCAATTTAAAGTAGATGAATTATGGCTAGCAGTAGAATTTAAAATTTGCGTTCCATCTTATTTGAGACACTCATTAGTTGCATGTACCTAGACTCCAGTGTTGTTATTTTCATTGAACTGGGACTCAAACCCAATACCTTTCACTTTAAATAACGAATACATCATCCATTGAGATACTAATTCCAAATAACTACTAACTTATTCAACAAGTATCAATTTTGCATCATCATTAGTAATTATTTGAGTTATTCTTTTGTTGAGAATTAATTGCTGGATATATATTTTTTTAAATATGAATAGCTAGTGAACACCTGCCAATCCCATTGAATTTACACGTTTCTTCATCTGACTCGAATTGGGCAATATTAACATGGGATAAAACGGAATGTGCCCAACAGTCACACGAGAACAATAATAATAATAATAATAACAATAATAATGCTGATCATGATGAGAATAGGAGAACTAGTATGAGGAGTCAATCAAATCAATTGAAAACATCGACTATGAATGATTGTTTAAATAATAAACATTTCATTAAATTTTATCAAGTTGCTTATCAAATAATTGGCTATTCATCAAATCGAACTAGAATTAAAAATTTCAATAATGATGAAGATGATGTAGATAATAATAATAATAATAATAATAATGTTGGTGATGCTGATGTACACTTAACAAGTAAGCATACATTTCTATGTATTTATGTAAAATTTATAGTTCGTGATATAGTGATGAACCAATCAGAAGTAGCCAAATGAGAAGGTCATTTGGTGACAATACCCAGTAGACTTACTATGATCCCCCTGATTACAGTTCATCTCAATTTCAACATTTTACTTTTGCAAAATGAACCCGTCTTGTTGCATTCACAAGTTCTTCAAGCTTTCAACAACAAAAGTATTATTAGTTTCCTTAACAAAAATCTAACGTTTTTATGCCTTTATTTATTAATTTATTTTACCTTACTGTTACCATATTTAGTCCAAAAATTTTTTATTATCACTATTACTGTAATTATTATCATCCTGAAAATTAAGCATATGTTTGCGACTGTACAGCTTTGAAAGGGAATCCCCCGAGAAGAGAACCTTTCGCCGAACCAATCTTTATTATTTTATGTCTCAATGGGTATATTCTGTTTATTTAATTCATTACGTGACTTTGAACCACACTGTAAGCATAAAGTTTAGTTATGATAAGTCTTGCTAATTGAACGCTTTATTCGGTTCCTAAGCTATTCTGGAAACCCCCAAGCTGGAACTACACAGCGACCTGAACACGAGAGAAAAGGCGCAAAATATGCGAGAAGTACTTTACTCCAAAGGTTCGTTTTAGTACAGAAAATATAGGGTTTTTATAGTATTTTTAGATGTCCTTGGTTTTCCCGAAGATCCTGGAATGCTACTGAACATAGTAATAGTATGGTAATCAGCTAATCAGAAACTCTACATGTGACTTTTCACTTTCTTGGTGTTTCTGGCTAAACTACAAGTGAACGTTGATTGGATAAAATGCTTCTTAGTGTTTTCCTGATCCTTGCTTGTCTTTTGCGAGAAGTTTTCTGGATTACCTCAACAAGTTATACTACCGGATTTTTTAAAAAATGAAAGTAGATGAAATGCGGCTTGAGCTTGTGACTTAATGACTAAACGTTGAACACTCTTTGTATCCAATGGTTATTTGATTAACTTTGATGGTCAAATGAGAACCTATGTTTTCTACAATGTGATATAGTTGTCCACTATTCAAACTTTTCTTAAATCAGATATCTTTCAAAATTTCAGTTTATTTTTGATGTTGTATTTATGAAATAACTTTCATTAATAACTCAACATTAACCATTACAAATTCAAATATGTGATGTAGATTACATAATTGCTTCATCTGGTAAGTATAATGTTTTTGGTTGAGATCATGAACGGATTGGTGTTAGACCACCGTTGGAAACCTGAAAGTACTGGATGGCCGTTCCATCCTATTGTGGCACTCCTCAGCAGTGCGCATCCACGATCCCACCCGCGAGATCCGAACCCAGGGTCTCTAGTCTGGCGCGCGAACGCCTAACCTACTGGACCACTGAGCTGGAGTCCAGTGGTGTTAATGTCTAACCTCAACCAATCCACGAAATCGCGCGACCATTTTCCATTGTACTGAGGTAGATACTTGTTTCTGCCCGACACGGATTAGCCCCACTGGTCACAGCTTCTCTCTAGAACTCCGAGAATTTTCTCACGAGGCTAGTCACATGTTAATTATCGGTATAGGGGTTGTGAAGATTATTAAGTTTTTGATTGAGTGGGACCGTGGGTGCGCACTGCTGAGGAGTCCCATATTAGGACGAAACGGTCGTCCAGTGCTTCCAGGTTTCCAACGGTTGTCTAACATCAGTCGGTTCATGATCTCAATCAAAAACTTAATAATCTCAACCCCAATACTGATAAGTGTAATGTTTTTTTGCTTTTTCAAGACCAAGCGAAAATAAATGGATACAGCACTGAAATCAAGTTTGTTTAAACGCTTTACTCATGTGACCTGCGCCAACTAGACAGGTAATACGTATACTCAACCACTCTCTACCTCGACGACTGGTGTTATCTGGTGTAGGAGTAGTCTGTAAGAGGTTTATGGGAGGACCAAAATAAACGTGATATTAGTCAATGAATTTGTTGAAAATTTGAATAAACCATGTAATTAAGTGTAAACTGTATAGTTGGGGTCTACGCGATTATTGTAATCAATGGTTCGAAACTTTACCTGACATGATCCAGAATTCTCCACAGTGGCTCAGGTGTAATCACTTTTTATCTTGCCTTAGTCTCTGAGTTGTGAAATCTCTTTATATCTTTTCTTTTCTTTTCCTACACCCCATCTTTTCCATTATTACTGATACTGTTAATACTTCTATTACTCCAGGATTTTTGATTTTTTTCATCTTAGTGTGCTGTTACGTTGTGACAACTTTAATCGATGCTCATATATCAGGTTCTACGTTGTATATGACTATTGACTGAACTGGACAATTGACTGATAGAAAACTAAGGGAGATTATCAGGGAAGAATATTATATTTGATTGCCTGCATAAGTGGAAGAATTTACTATTGTTAGACCTGCTTTCTGTTGTGACGGGCGTTGTCCAGCATCTGATACTGATACACGATGTGCTACGCGTTAACCCTCCAACTGACTACATGAGCGAGAACATTAGAGTGAGCGAGAAAGTGTATTGGGCTACCAAATAAAATGCACAAATACTTATCCAGACATATATATCACTCTGATCCTTAGGAGATTGATCCATTTCTTAGCCAACTAAATGCACTTGTCCTTGATGTCACCTTTGATTGCCATCGATTGACCTTTTCATTAGGCTACTTCTGATTGTCAATCCATATCATTTGCAGTGACAGTCTCTTAGACTTTTGCAATACTATTTTCCTGCCAATGTGCATTGTCATAAATTTTCGCGTTTTCGTCAACTAGTTATGTTTGTTAACCAGTCGCGAGTTCAATTACTGACAAACGTAAAAATACCACTACAATGGTTTGTACAATTTGTTCCTCACCTGTCTCTTAACGAAACGGAAGGTGATTACTATAGAATTCATACTTTAAATATATACTGCAATATAAAGTGATATTATTGGAGCAGAACTGATAGTAAATACTTCCAGATAAATATGATCGTCAATTAATAATTGTTTGAAAACTATTTGTGTCGAAACTTGGGAACTTATGAATTGATCTGTGGCGGTGTTATACGTGTACATTGCCGAGAAAAAAAACTGTTGTCCTACTTAGTCCCAATCCTCATCCCCGGTTTGTCTTCTATAGTGTAGTCAAAAATCAACTTCATCTCATAAATCATTATTTATTCCGATAATATTCCTTGTTTATTTTGATATTATCTTACGTATTTTCTCTCAATCGCCTCCTCCAACCAACTATTACTTTTTTTCTTGCCTTCAAGATGGAAATCGTCGACAAGATTTACCTACGCCACCATCGTCTTCTCTTGATAGAACACAACATATGATCAGTGTAACTGAGAATTGGGCTAAATTAGAAAATTTACAATTTGGTCGATTATATTCTGTAGTTGTTCGAGCTGTTGGTGAAAAGAAATTGTTAAAAAATTCACATTACACTCCTATTACTAATGATAATAAAAATAATAATCATGGTCAGGGACAAGAGTTGAATAATATTCTGTATAGTGAATGGAGTTTAGAGCAGATTATTGAGACACCAGAAAAAAGTTAGTGTTATCTATACATTTCGATTATAATTAATTGTTTGTTTTTTCGGATAACATTTTAAAGATGTGATAATATTCTGATTAAGCGTTAGCGTGTGTTGTGATTGACTGAAGTTGCGTGAGACGTTTGTTGCATGTATTGTCAACCACCATGTATCTTAACGTCTAGTACTGGTTGAGATTGTATTAGGTTAGAAAAAGCCTAATTGTGGCTAAACTAAGAAATAGAGTCAATCCATAAAGAGATTGATTGTTGATCTGAACTATACTTATGGATGCATATTGGGCTCCTCGTGATAACTGCGATGAATAAGTGTAGACATTGGATTATATGATCCAGAATCGATCACTGTAGTACAAATCCATTCACTCTTTGTTTTCTTTAGATCTTGAATTTATTCATTTTTATCGAATCATATTCTGTTTACTTGATACATATTACAATTGTCCATTATTGTTTCTTGATTTTTAACAGTTCGCTACCAGGTGAAATCAATCTGTCAAGAAAGTTACTTCGAAGTGTCTGAGTTTTTTATGTTGATCACTCTGTCAGTTATGTATCTATATCTCACTAAGATTAAACTTTCGATTCATGTAAATTAATTTAGTCCATTTCTTCTCTCAAGTAGTTGATAATATCTTAGCCAAATCCTATTAGAAAACACAGGTAAAACTATATTGCACCGAGAGCTTTGAGTGACGACCAATCAAAATTAAGCCTGATCATGTTCAATATTAACCGCGAATTCAAAACACTTTTGCGGATAGCTTTTTGTTGGAAATGATTATTTTGATTAAACTTTGTATTTTAGAGGATTGAATGATGATTTTCATGTATAATAAAGTGTTAAGGTCAATATGTTCCATTGAGGAATATTAGGATTATAAATAGTTTCCCAGGAGTACTAGGGTTCAAGATGAAGCTGAGCAAGGAGTTCGAGTTTAGCTGGGTTACTACAACTCTACGATTTACAGCTTAATTTATAGATATTTAGCCTTTATACATTCATTGTTCATACTAAAATTCTTAACCATCTGTAATTTTATCACTTTCTGTATTTAAAAGCTCTTACGCAAAACTTGCAGTCTGATTAATTTTTTTATTGTTGAACCTCCAAATTATCCTTAAAAAATCGCTTAGGGCCTGTCTGTACTAGTAGAGTTTTACTAAAACAATTTTTAAAATGATATAGGACCAATTGTCTTTTATTTTTTTCCGGGGTTGGTGGGCAATTTTTAGGGCCTGGTGATTCTCCACGTGATATTTCCTTGATTGGTCTTAGTGTTGGGGTTGGCGTAGGCGCTGTCGGACCCTCTTCCCCATCCTCCTCATCGTCATCCATGGGAGGACAATTACAAAAATCACCCGTCAGTATACAAATAAGTTGGCAACCACCTATTCATCCAAATGGACCTTTAACAGGTTATCTACTTTATTACACGATAAATCATAGTTTACCTTTAATGAAATGGTCGAAACGACATTTACCACCGGATAGTTTGAATACAGTTATTTCTGGACTTGTACGTAATGCTATTTATGCATTTTGTTTAAAAGCTACTAATTCATTTGGTGATGGTCCAATTTCATCAGTGAAATTTTATCGTACACCAGATGGTAAGTGTAATTTCATTTTATATACCGATAAATCATGTTCATATTTATGTTTAGTAAGGATTTGTGTGGTGCACCCGGTTGCGTTAATGCTCATGATTGGATTTTGATCTATCTTCTAGAGGATGTATACGATTTGTTCATTTTGTCTCAATTTTCTTTTGAATAGATGTATTTTGGCTAGTGCTTGAATGTAGGGCACATATGTTGCATCGTATTTGTGACTTGTCAAGTGGATGAATCTCCATCCGAGTATTGATTTTCACATTCGGGTTTGAACCCTCACTACTCGTAGCTTCCAATACTAACGCATTACTCAGTGAACAGCAGTTTAGTCTTCTGGATTTCATTGCTTGCTACAATCTATTTCCATCCTCATTAGTCATTTTTGCTGCTTAATAAAAAAGGAAGTAGATTAAAGCTATGTGGTTTAAAAGTAATTACTGAGGTAACTTTGTGTAATGTTTTTTCTCCTCTATTGTAGCGCATGTTTCAGTCGGTCAGTATTTTTCTAACAACTTATTGTAACATCAAATCATCTAGTTTGTTAAAGAATGATAATTCTAGCCTGTAATGAAGAACGTGGTCACTATTTTCCTGCTCACAATTCCCCGCTAAGCTTTGGTCGTTTTCGCTTCTAATTTGCTAACTTTGTCATCTATTCCAAGGTTATAGTTGTTGTTATATAAGCAAAGCTATTTTATCACAAATTGAACTTCTTTTAATATTGAACTTTTTCTTAAGTTCCCGAATTCACTTACTCACTTTCCGTCTAGTCGCATGGTGTTGCATATTAGTCGTCCTGTCTGTCTCTTTCTCATAGATCTCATTTCGTACGATGAGAATCTACCAATCATTTATAATTCTATATTACTGTTGGCTATTTCAAGACAGAATTGCGATTTAAGTTTATTCGGATCTGGGATCGCGTAAAGTTTAGAATGTAGACTGTTATAATTACAACTAATATTATACAAGTGACATAATTTGATCACATTCATATTCATAAAAGTTTCTAAAATCTATCGTTGATGATGTTTTTATGGGTTTTCTGTTGTAAACTAGTTTCTTAAATAACACTTCAAATTTGCCAAATTAACTGGTTAAAATTTAATTTATCAATATGAGAATGCACTAATTCCTCTCTCTCTCTCTCTCAACAAAATCATAATAATCTAAGGATAAACGTCAGAGACGAACAGATAGTTTTACAATTGTAGATGATTTTACATTACAATTAGCCATCTCAACTGAGGAAATATTGAACCAATGATAATACTGATATGATGTTTCTTTGTAAGTTGGAACTCTTCATCAATATATGTATTCATAATCTCATTTAAGTTCCAGCTCAGAACTTCTAAATCATTAGACCATTGAGTTTGGAATTAATAGCCAATATTTTATAATAATCATTCGGTTGTATTGTTGTGAAAAATTCCTTCACTCTTAGTATGACCAAACACACTAACCAATATATGATTATTCTTTAGTTTAAAGGTTTAGAGAGATATGTTTAATATGATAATGATTGTTATCACTGATGTTAACTGAGAAAATCACTAAAAACTGAGCAGTATTGAACAGATGTAATCTCTTTATCAAGTATAAGCTGAAGTACTCAGCTTTTTTTCACACTTTATTTGTAAGGATTAATTAGTACTATTCGCTTCCCTAAATCTGAGGTAAGTGAAGCGGGACTCGAACCTAGGACTAAGGGGTTGATATTTGGTTGCTTTAATCAACTCGACCCCCGATCTGGCACAATTATTTCTTCAAGTTTAAAAATTTCAATTATATTTTATTTCTTCTCTTTTTTTAATGTTAAGTTTATGGTCAAGGCGGTGGTGTTCTAACATTTGCCGAACATGATTCGATGAAATCTATAAATCCAATTAGTTCATTAAAACATCATGATAGCATAGATAATGATAAAATTGTCAATTATCCAGCAGATTTAATCTTTGTCAAGCAACCTACAACATTATTAAATAATGGGAAACAATATTATGGTGGTAGTAATACCACAACAATTGGTACAGTTCTATATACACCAATAAAAAATTCCTGGTTAATTTTTGGAATTATGATTGGATTTTCAATAATGATTCTTATAATTATTGTAATTTCATTATTTTATCGAAAACATCGTCGTAATTTTGGTCCATTAATGAAGTAAGTTTCGTATATTCTTCGTTATTCATTGAATTTCGTAATTTTTTTTTGTAAATGTGTTATCTTGTTTTTAAATTGGAGATCTCAAGTAATGTTATTGGAGGGTGAGAATTTGTCACTTCTCGGCTGCTTACATTGTTGAAGGATATTTCTTCGCAAGCTCTTCGGAAGGGAAACTGAATTAGGGATGGCCTTTACAATTCGGCAATGTGACCATAGTGCTCAGTCATAATATACTGGGTATTAGATGAGTACGAGCTTTCTGATAGTTCTTGATGTGATAGCTCTGTACTTTTAAGGCTTCACTGCTGGCCACTGAAACCTGAGGGTTAAACCGAGGCGTATTATTTATAGGCTCAACCCTTTTCTTTCGTTGTGAGAAGGCGGAATAGCTGTATATGCTAGTTGCTTGAAGAAAAAATTCTTACTTCCGCCACAGTCCTGCACATTCAATAGTTTACCCTTTTTGCTTTTGAATTCTAAGCTTGTTATTTTCTAATCTTACCGTTCTTTAAACGACTTGTATGGCCTTATAAGCCATAAAGAAACGAATGTTTTAACTAATATCACTCGTTTGTCGTATCGAAATATGGAAGCCAGGGCGTTATCTCAAGGTCAGAACTACTATCGAGTTTTTAAATGATTTGTGTGAACTAAAGTGAACGTGAAAATATTGTCTCTTATCAATTACTATATATGTATATGTATATGTGACGGAATTGCTTACAGCCTGCTTATAATTGTTGCGTCAATATTATTGTTTTCACTTTGATTTATTTTCCATCATCTTCGTTTGACGTGACTTATTGGACAATAAAATTGTACAATTTTCAATCGTTAGGTCATAGGTTCAAACTGTTCATTCCTGTTTAATTTTTCTATCTCATAAGAATTCATCTATAGAGTGCTTGGTGAATACAGGATGATTAATTATTGAGTTACTTAATTTGTCATGTTTTCCAGAAGTTTCCAAAGTCTAACAATTATTAATAAATAAACTTGTTTTCTTCACGTAATATTATAACCTTCGAGTAAAACTTTTACTCAAATTTCGCGTTTTTTTTAACTATTCCAGTTCATGTGTAGAAATAGTTAGGAGATAAACAAACAACAACTAGAGATTTAATAATAAGCATTCAATCTGGAGAGTACTGATTGTACATGTACTGATGTAATACTAGATGGTACGTGTTGAAATATGCCTTACTGATGAGTCCCAACTAAAGTGAAACGTAAATCCAGCGAATCCATCTTATATGTTTCAACCATATAGCATAGAACAAAGTATGCAGAAAGTTATCCAGCACAATTTCTTATCATTTAGACTCATGGCTTTATTACAACTTAGTCGATAGAATTTAACCAATCATTAACTTTGTGTATGTGTATGTTTGTGGCTTTTAATAGTGGCACCGATTTAGCTCTTAAGGTTTAGTAAGAAAAAAGAAACACATCTTGATTGAAAGTGAATAACTGAACAGTAGAAGCTTTAGATTATTAGTTCAAATTGCAGCGTCACCATAGCTACTGAAATAGGCTTTTCTCTCAATCTCCTTTCCGTATAACATTATTATTTGTCCACCTTCTTTTTGACCGTTATATTACTTAATATTATGTTTGAGGTAGGTAAACGCCAAATCATGATAATGATGACGATGATGAAGTACGACAAACAAAAGTACACTTCTTTTCCGACAAATGTTTTGTTGTTTTTTCCATCAAATTTACCATTTTGTATTTACATTAATGATCATAGTATTGATAATAATAGTATTAATGACAGTAAAAATAGTAGGATGTTTTATAAGTAATATATACTTAATTTACTTGATTTACTACTGTCTGTTACTAATTCATATATACATATATATTTTAAGTTATAAACCTGGACAAAATTTAACTCGTTTACCTGATGGGGATAATTTAAACGAAACTAGTAATAATGCTACTAACAATCGAAATCGTAACATAAACACCCAGAACAATTCAATTTCTTCGCAATATTTTGGAAAGAAACGTAAATGCCTTACAAAATCTTCATTTGGTGGAGTTGGTGCAAATGCAGGTACGACAGCTGGTAATCAAGACGTAGCCTTATTAATGAGTAATGGCGAAGCACTGTTAGCTTCGGATAACATGGATTGTGGTGTTGTTGATGGTCTACAACAACCATTATCTAATTTATTAGTTAGTGGTGCTTTAGTCACTATGCCGAATGTGTTGACAACATCAATGAATTTATCGTCAGCTACTGTTGGCGTCGGTGCTTCTAGTGGAAGCGGTGTTGTTGGTGCTGGACAAATTTCATCAGCTGGAATTACACCAAATCAAGGTGTGTTATATCATAATCAGGACAATATGAGTAAGTTGGTTTAAATGTTGTTTTGTTTACAAAATTTTATATATATATATATATATATATATATATATATCATTAGTAGTATTGTCTCCTCAGTCATATAGTCTACCTGTGCTAACAAAAATCAAACTAACAGTTTGTTGACTTCATGAAGTGATTGATTTGTTCGGGTTTGAGCCACCTATATCACATGCGTTCCAAGTTGGCAAATATCAATCAAGTTTTCCTCAGACACTAACCTATCAAAGTTGATGACACTTCGAAGATAAGTGGAGTAGTCAACTCGCCCAATTTCCTCACTCTTTATGATCTATCTAGGCAATGTTGAAAGCCATGAACTTGTTCTGCTTCCCATCATTATTATTCATTTTATTATATATCGATTTCTCGTCGTACAACAAGATAGTTGGAATGACACAGAATATTATTACTTTGCATATTTTCGTTTACACTATATTTGCTGGTACAACACAGCTCAGTCAATTCAATAATATACTGAAATTACCTAAGGTAGTCAAATGAATAATTTTATTTACAAGGACCATACTGATTTTCAAATTCCAACTAAATAATTTGTATAGAATTCCATGTATTCCTCTGATAGATTAAGATTTGATGTTTAAAACGAAAGGCCACTGGGTTTGAGTCTCACTGTGAGCATTAACATATTGAGATATTATTGTAGGTATATCCATTCATCTAACCAGTCCCAATTAGGACGAAACGCTTGTTCACTGGATTGCAATGTTATTCTACAATCTATCTTTATATTAACCGAGTAGATTTAAAAGGTTATAATCGTTAAACAATGTACTGATTGCAAAAAGGCTTTTCCAACTACAAAGAAAGGAGGGTAGCTGAGGCGTTCCATATAATGCTTAATCCTACTTCTCTCAACAGAAAGGAAGGCCTTACCATACATCCTACTTGGACCATTTATCCCAACCATTCAGTCTGATCATATTTACAAATTCATACTATCATATTACAAATTTAAACTCTATCCCATCTTACCATAAAGGTCACACAATTTTTCATTCTTAAACAATGCACAAATACATACACATGCAAATTTACATACATATCACTTATGAATCACCTTGACAAAAATGACATGACATCAACTTGTTCATATCTGTTTTTTGATTGATCAAATATTATTCTTGTATCGTTCCGTTGTACTATTTAAACTTGGATTAATTTTAATTTGTTTATTTATTCTCTGAAGAAGTGGCTTACACTAAGTCACGAAACGTCAGAAAATCTAATTTTCTACTCATTGGGATATTACAAATATATTATTTATTTATAATGTACTGATTGTTTGATTGAATTAAAGTTCGTATGCCGAAATAAGAAAGCTAATATGTATCACTTTACTTGCTTGTCTGAGGGCAAATATGAAGGTCATGGTACGATCATTGACTACTCAGTTTCATCCACCATAATAATAGTAATAATAATTATTATTATTGTGATTTAGAACACACATAAAGCGAACGCGTAATAAGTGCGGACTCTATAATTCAGTGACTCGATAAAACTAGAAACGTAAAGAAGTTTCATTCATGCCAGTATTACGTTTTGAATAGTTACAATGATTACAAACTTGATTTGTTAACTTATAAACCTTGAAAATATTATACATCACCTATGTCTGAATATAGATACTGGTTCATATTCATGGGATCGTGATTCTGACTCGTTACAATTCGCTTCTGTATCACAAGAACGTACAGTTGATAGTAGTCAATCGCCCAATAATATAACCACTGGTGGTCATGGACAAATGACTCCAACAAACGGCGGTAGTGCTGGAAGTACAAATTCAGCCCATGGTAGCATTGGTACACCGACAAGAATAATACCTAATTTAGCCTATCATCAAGTACATGGTTTTCCGGTAAGTTGTTTGTTAATTTTGTATAATTTCCTTCGTTTTAAGTCCAGTTTTTACTTTCTTGTATGACAACTACGATATTCCTCGTAACCACATTTTTTATTAAGGCCTTTGAAATTCATCTACTGAGTTACAGGCTCAACCTCTATTCGAATTACTTCGGTTTAAGTCACTGATTAGCATCGATAGCGTTTACGTTTAGTGATTGTTTGGAAGTCATTCATACGAATGTTTGTGTGGTTGTTGAGCTAATAATGTTAATTTTCTAACAAACTTAGATAGATTTCGCCTTTGGATGAGTAGACACTAATAAGAATTGTTTTCAGAAATTATGTTAGTTAAATTAACTTCAAATTCCAGATACTTGATAATCGATTAGGGAATCTGATCGAAATTAACTTGTGGTTTATTTTCTGGTTGAACGATTTACGTTATTCTGATGATTGTTGTATCACGGATCATCTCAGATACTCGTGTAAATAATATCTTGCTATCAAATCTTGATAAAAATGATCATGTCTACTGGATTTTCCTGTTAGCCTACGATAAGTTCTATTTATAAATGATTGAAGATTCTCCTATTATATAACTCAAGGAATATGAACTTGCATAGACTAGACATCCGTCAAAAAACAACACTTCGTCTCTAATAATCATTCATATGCTAATATTGTAGTGCTTTCAAGACTATAGATACGCCTTGTTGACGAGTTCTAACTAATTTAGCATCATAATATAATATATTCAATATTGATTCACTTAGATTAGTGACTTTGATTGCAACTCGGTCAATAGAATTCGATCATCAGCTCAAAGGCACTAGATAAGCATGATATTTGCCACTGCCCAATGATCAAACAACATAAAGCTATCGTCACTTATTTCTTTAATCTTCAATGTACACAATCATACAGTTTCATGGAATAATCAAATATTATGTAATACTATTATTATTTTTCACAAATAAAAAAATATTTTAAGTCTATCATCAGTACAATTATTCACTGTCATTCTCTCTATTTCAGAATGATCCAACTTTGGGCTATTCTTACCCAACAGTGTCAATAATTCCAAATATAGTTAATCCTATGATCATTCCTTCACGTCCATCAGTCAATAATATTAGTATTCCAATTACTGGTTATCCAAATCATTTAATCCCTTCTATTATGCCATCAAATAGTATTAATAATAATAGTATTAGTAGTAATAATAATATGAACAATTATTTAGTACACTATTATCCGACTACATCTATGTATAATCATCATTTAAATAATAGAATGCCAACAGATCGATTTCCATCGATAGTTGCTCATCAACCTCCACCTCATATGGTCTACACTGGACAATCATCATCAAGATATCATGTACCGTGTAATATCGACCAGTGTAAGCGGAAAGTTATTTTTTTGTGTGTATGTGTATGTGTTTTTGATTATTAATTATTGATTTTCCTAGTTCAAATTTTCGTTTTGTATTTCGTACTTCCTTATCTTTTACTGTGGCAGAGTTGGCTTCGATTAAAATAATCTCCAACATAGATTTAGAAGGCTCGCTTTACGTTTACTAACTTGCTTCACCTGTGACTTAGGTGAAGTGTCCGTCTATAAATAAAAAAGAGGGAATGTTTCGAGCAGTAATCGACTTCATATTGCTATATCACTGTGAAACATTGGGTGTAAATATAGATGTGCGTAGGTTGCAGGTATTTGACCATAGATATCTCGAAGCTACTACTTGTGTATTGTGGACTGAGCTAGTGAGCGCTGTAAATGTTAGGTATAGATTTCTAGGCAAAGGTGTGAAATAAGTTGATAACACCATAAATCTTCGTCTATTGATGTGATTGGGGTAAGTTTTTTTATATGACTGGTCAGTGCTCACTTCGAAGGACATTATTTGGGTTTGGCGAAACCTTGGGGTTGGTAAATCAATACGTATCATGATGATTCAGTAGACTTATGTTTTACTGAGATCAAGAACCTATCTAAGTTAGACAACCGCTGAAAATCTGGAAGCAATGCACATCTGTTTCGTTCTAGTATATGACTTTTCAGCATTACTCATCTACAAATGTCGCAACCGGCAATCGAACCCTCGGTGTAAATCTCCCTCCATGTTTCCTGTGTTCTGATCGACGTTCAAGAATAGAAAACTCATGATTGAGAAGCGTTTAAAACGTATGTTTCTCAATGTTTGAGTAAAAAATCAATAACATCTCTGGAAACTTCTAGAAAATCATCCTCTTAAACTGCCTCATTATTGTTGCAAGTTCTTTCTCAATCTGTGGTGTTTTTACTAAACACCTGTACACAAACATTTCTACCCAAACTCAGTTCATCAATAATTACCTAATAAGTAAACCGATTATGAGATTACACACGATATGTCTTTTATGTTCAGCTTTAATTCAAACTGGATTTGACCCACTTGAAATGACTTGGTTCTCTTCAATTCACTATCTTCAACATTAACAACCATTAAATTTCGTTTTTATTATTTTAAGTCTCTTTCAAGTTCTTTAAATAATCTTTACTGTAATTTGTATATTAACTGAACAGGTTGTGTGTTCGTAATTATCAGTAAAAGTGTCTATGCTATTAGAGAAAATTTCACCGAGGCTATAATGTATCGACGAACCAATGAAATAAAAAAAAAATAGCAAGTCTTAGATTTTGACGCGAAATTTATCCATCTATATGGTTAATTAGTATCTAGGCATTCTAACTGAGATCAGTTCATAATGAAAAATTGTAATTCCTAGTTCTATCTTCTAACTCTTAATTTTCATTTTAATTCCTCACACTAATCTATAATCCTTTTTTGGATCCTATTCAGTAGTTGATGTTTCTCAAGTTCACTTTGGCGTCTCCCAAATGTTGTACATAAATTCTAATTTCAATAAAGTTAATATCACTTTTTACATTCATCTTCAAACTCTCTATCACAGAAAAGCTATATTGTTGAGTTATTTCTAATTATTCAATTAGAAAATATTTTCAAAGAAGAATTTACATTATAAGTTTGAAGGTTCTATTTATAATCTTTGTCTAGAAAAACAGTAAAATCTTTACAAATCTATCAGTAAAACGATCTTTAACATTATTCCAAGTTAAAGAGAACAATATCTTTTTGATTTCTTCAGTTTATTCTTTCTTGTTCTTGTTATTCTTCTTCCTCATCTCATCGTCTTTTTTCGTTGTTTTCTTTAAAAAAAATTTTTATAGCTCAATTGGTGGCTACATATGCTCATGTAATTAATCCATCCGCCTATACACCTGTTGGTCAACCAGGATTTGTCAATGTGAATACACCTCGAGTAAATGCAGCTGAAATTATGTCATTTACAAGTTCAGGTAATTCAGAACAATATCTATTTCGATATTTTCTTGTTGTTACATACAATGAAATGTTTAACATAGATTTTGATTTATATCATGGGTATATAATTTGCATCTATTATCCAGAAAAAAAGTATCACGATACTGTTCAGTTTCAATACAATTATTGAATAATGACACATGATTATTAGAGGAGTAAATCAGCTGTTAAGGTGTTTACCTTTCAGCTACTAAATCACAGGTTCAAACTTTTCCCTATTTATTTCGATATGTGCAGCTCTCACATTTAGAGTATGATTCAAAGACAAGTACATGAATCATTTGTGCCTTGACAAATGAGTTAAAATCAAATGAATTAATTTTATACTGTCTAGTCAGAAAATTGAAAGGTGGATATGTTTCTGATTTTCTCTAAATTTTAGTAATATTCACGGTTCCTACTCACTTACGCTTGTTACCCCTCATGAAGGAGCATAGACCACCTACCAGGATCCTCCATTGAAATCTGTCCTGGACAAACTTTACAAGTTGCTATTCATTCTTTTGATATCTGCTTCCAATTCCAAACTCAATGTATTCCTTGGTCTTATTTTTTCCCGTAATAGTAGATTACTCCAAATCAAGGCAAAGTCTTAGTGAACCAGCCAGCTCAGAGTACTAAACTCCACCAAAAAGGGAAATTATTCGTTAGCATGTTAAGTTAGAAACAAATGATTTTTTTGCTAACATTTTGAAATATTTTTTTGCTAATGTTTTTTACAATTAATTCCACGAAGTGTACATTCATCCGTCCCCCTTCGTACATCACACAGATTTATTTTTTATTCTCTCTTATCTATTATATAGAAGATATCGGACCAGCAGTATCAACTTCTGTGAATGAAAATGATTGTAAGTTAGAAAAAAGTCGTTTTCGTTCGTCTTTTTCTGCGTATTATGTTCATTATTCATTTTTTATGATTATTATTATTATTATTATTATTATTATTATTATTATTATTATTATTATTATTTGAACACATAGATATCGGTACAAGGATTCACCAAATACATCTGTGCCACATAAATCATTCGATTTGTGTGAGGGTTAGGATACTGCACGGGTGCCCGAACCGAAGTTGGTGGTTTTCTTAGGGGGCCACACCCCGAACCTTTGACCTAAAGGTTTGGTCCACAAGACAGTGGAGCATCGTAAGGAGATGCAGTCCCATGGTAGCTGGTGACCAACGATTGGTTCATACACCATTTGTTCCCTCAGGATACTGGAGCCCATGTGCACCATCGGTTTGGAATCGGGGTTTTCCAACTCTCGTAGGTGGAGTTTCCATGTCCACCAACCCGGTTAAGGCACCGGAGTTTCGATTTTCGTCCTCTCAATTTCGTAAACAACAGTAATGCCATGAGAAGGTAGTAAGTAGGACTTCCGTTGGAGTGGTTATATTCACGTGGTCATATGAGGGTATTTCGAGAGGGAGAATTGACTCTCCCTACTCTCGGACTTACCAGGGAATTCGGGGGCTCATTATTCATTACTTTTCATCATATTCTGCGGTCGCATTCAATATACATTTTTCCACTAACTTTTGGTACTGTAAGACTAAAAATAGCAAACTCATTCTTCGGGGACGTAGTCATACTGCTGACTGTGCTGAGATATAGTCACAGTAAAGTGTTTCAGGCAACCGGCATTTGTAGTAATACTGCCTTCTAACAGCGGAAGGAGGGGGTTAAGAAAGGTGGACTCTAAAAATGTTGCACACCAACTTACCCCACGGATTTCCGCCTCGTGCCGTAAGAATGTTTGGAGCACGAAGCCGGCACATTACAAACTCCTCACAGAAGGTTCTTATGTGACCGCCTCAAACAGCTGTTCTTTGGGCTTTGAGGCACACTTCCAGGTTAATAAAATTACCACTAACTTAGTTTCATTCTCCCTCAACAAGACATGTCCTTTTACCGTGTGGTCAACCGGGAGGTGGAAAGTAACCTCATGCCTCTAACAGCTCTAGCAGTCCTCTTTGTGTAGAATAGATGGAATGTGGCTAGCAGTGGTATCCAGGACGTGCGTTTCGTCCTATTTAGGACTTTTTATCCTAAAGTACCGGGATCCTAGAGTTTATCTCCACTCCAGGCGTCGACCTCAGTACCATTCTTTTCAAACGCTAACGCATTATGCATCAACCTATTGAGTTTAGATAGTCAAATAGGATGAAGCGCGAACCCCTGGTTTTGTTACTAGCCACGTTCCAACTATTCTGTACCAACTTCTTTCATAATAGGTATATTGAGGAAATCCACACGGGATGCACATATGCCAACCATGAATGATCAAACTCCAGTTAAAATATCAACAGCGGGATTATTCAAACCATTATGGATTAAACTGGCGATCCCCTTTTTCGCGATATAATCCCTTCGTCATTTCTTGATATTCCTGCTTTCTCCACCACTAACGTTTAATATACACTTATCCTTTTCCCCTGCTATCATCATTACTGTTATTACTATCAGCGGCATTATGATCCTGTTTTGTAATCAATAAATCAACTTCAAACTTTCTTATCTATGATTAATCGAGTTGTTTATGTTACAGTTGACCAGTGTGTCATTGGTTTGTAAATTAGGGTAGGAATGTGTTAAACTATATTATTATTATTATTATTATTATTATTATTATTATTATTATTATTTTGTCGGCTGTTTATGATGTTAAAAAGAAACAAATTATATTCTGAATATTATTACAAAATGCATACGAGTTTATTAAATTGATACAGAATACAATGTTATATATGTAAAGAACAAAGATATAAGGTTAAATTGTTTGAGAGGACATTTATCCTATGAATTACAATAATACAAAGCAACAGTTAATAACCAGTTATTTTCAGTAGAGGGGGGGGACTGGTAGAACAGTATGTCAATGTATCAATAATGTATTAACGGAGAATGGGAACCAATCCCATTTCCATTACAAAATAAATAAACAAAACAGAGAGTGTTTTATTTTGTACAGAAAATATACTACCAATATAGTTATTGTTTATCTTAGCTACTACTACTAGTATGTAAGTCTTTCTTTTTTTATTAAGAACTGATTATCTGTCTGACCAAGTTTGACATGGAAAGGAGATAATAATAATAATAATAATAATAATAGGGATAATGCGCATAAGTTTTGTTCTATGTTTCAAATAATTCGAATGTTAAATCTTTGTTTTTTAATTAAATGTATTTAATTTGAAATATTTTGTGCTTTTTTGTACTTCTTTCTACAATCCGATCTTTTTTGAATGTCAGTATTAAAAATACTGTATTTCTACACAGATTATAATATATTGAAAATTTGATTGATTTGTTACAGTTGTAGAGAGAGAGAGAGAGAGAGGAACTAGTATGATGGCCCCCAAATGCCCTGGTAAGTCCGAGAGTGGGGAGAGTCAATTCTCCCTCTCGAAATACCCTCATATGACCACGTGAATATAACCACTCCAACGGAAGTCCTACTTACTACCTTCTCATGGCATTACTGTTGTTTACGAAATTGAGAGGACGAAAATCGAAACTCCGGTGCCTTAACCGGGTTGGTGGACATGGAAACTCCACCTACGAGAGTTGGAAAACCCCGATTCCAAACCGATGGTGCACATGGGCTCCAGTATCCTGAGGGAACAAATGGTGTATGAACCAATCGTTGGTCACCAGCTACCATGGGACTGCATCTCCTTACGATGCTCCACTGTCTTGTGGACCGAACCTTTAGGTCAAAGGTTCGGGGTGTGGCCCCCTAAGAAAACCACCAACTTCGGTTCGGGCACCCGTGCAGTATCCTAACCCTCACACAAATCGAATGATTTATGTGGCACAGATGTATTTGGTGAATCCTTGTACCGATATCTATGTGTTCAAATAATAATAATAATAATAATAATAATAATAATAATAATAAATAATTAATAATTGATAATTAATAATAATAAACTAATGTGATGAACTATGAAAATGGGATTGTGTTGGAGAGAATAGTGTGTATGTATAAAAGAAATAGTTTTCTACATAAATCTAACTTCATGAATTGTATACAGTTATATTGATTGTTGTTAAAGGTCCGTCTAAATGATTTTTATTTTTGAATGGATCGGTTTATGTTTTTTGCATATGAAGGAATTCCAATGTAATCCAATCGTTAAAGAGAATGTTTAGGACATGGCATCAACTTTCATCAACTGAATTGATTACATCACATCAACACAGTGATAAAATTCATAAAATCCATAACGAAGGGGAAGTCGAAGTAATGGTAATAACCAGAATTGTGAAAACGAATAGGCATAACATAATCTATAAAGATTTTAATTATCCCGTTGTTAATATTTAGGACTGAATTTTTGATCTGTATGGGTTCTGTGTAGATCGCATCGATATAGATTGTAACATAATGGTTATTTCGAGGCGATCTACAAAGGATCCAAATATCCCAATAATGACTAATCAAAAACTCAACCTCAAATATCAATCATGGGTTAGTTTAAGCTCTTATTAATAACTATGTAAAGATAATACACCTTCAACAAGCTGGTGGCTATTTGTAGTTATTAGTTTATTGGATAATGCATTAGTGTTCAAAGCAGAACGTAATACTTTCGAATCTCAGTGTGAACATCAACACGGTGATACACGTACATCCAACTAACTAGTCCAGTGGATCCTACTTCTATTCGCGACCCACCTATTTGAAAAAAAAACGATAATTTCACAGAATAAAGCGTAGGAAATAACATCAAAGTTCAGATTTATAGAAAGATAAATGATGGACTCATATGCTTCACCGAAATCCATTTTGAACCATGTCATATAATGTTTCCAACCACTGGTCAGATCTCAACCAAAACGTGTACATTTACCAACATAACTCAAACCAACAGGCAATGAATTTTAGTACTAATGTTATTTCTTGATTTCTCCACCCCTGTTATTTTTCTTATAACATACTGTTACACAATCTTATCAACACTGATTCACTTCAACATCACTGCCTTATCGATTGTTCCACTGTGTATCATAAATTCTTTGAGAATATCTATTATCATATACTTGTAATTTAGGTATATTCTTTACTTTCAAAAACTATATTCTACAGCCATAGACTAAAAGAAAACAAGCCGCTGCATATAGTACTCGCTCTGTAAGGTGAAGACAAATAGTTTGTCTATTGTTGAAAATTGGATATTTTAACAATTAACTCATGGCTTTCGAATGTTGTTTGAAATAGGATTAAATTACTAAACAGGACATAAAAAGTTTGTGAAGATTGCTAAATCTTACTATTTACATCACCCACTGATCTTATTTAGACGACTATTAAAAACATGGAGACACTGAACTCTATACAATGCTCATCTACAATCCGACAGAGGATCGGATCCACGACCTTCATGTCTTTCAGGAAGTACCTAAACTCTAGAGCACTGAGCTGTTATCTAATGATTTACAAGTTCATTTTGATCAATGCGTTGTAATGCATATTCATTTTAAAACTCTATTCGTGGATAACTGCCGTTGGATCCCAACTCGGTGCCCTGAAGATTGGACCCTCACTGCTAGATTCGACGATCTTGGATCCGGTTGTAGGTACACACTGCTGAGGAGTCTCATACAAGAACAAAACAGTTGTCTATTGTTTCCTAGTTTTCATTGCTCAACAAACTACTGTCAGTTTATGACTTGAATTATGAAGAAAACGTAAATCTAGACAGGTATTGGCAGTCAATAAAGTCATTATTGACTATTAGTTTTCTTTTTTTTGTGTAAAAGTCTAAACTCCCTGACACAATTAGACCCTGAGTATTTTAAAAGTGAACTGTTTGAAACTGTAGGTTAGATATGCATTACTAAAAACAACAGTCAAAATATTGAAGAATACACTTCTCATTTACCTCTATATGTAAGTAAATCTCTATTTATTTATGTTCTCCGTTATATTAGTTTGCGCTTTATCCTTTCCGTTCTGTTGTTGTTCTGTTTGTATATGTCTCCATAGATAACTATTTTTTGCTTCATATTACTTTATTGGACTTTTGATTGTCTAATTTCTGATTACTGACGAAAAAAATGAGTAGTTTGCATTAGTCTACTTATTAGTTAAAACAAATGTTAATAATATGCCGAGAAATTCCCGAAAGCTACCAACAAACATTGATAGACTTAACAAGTAATATGGGAGTTTTCTCGTAAAATGTTGACTTCATCAAATAGTCTTTTTCCTACATTCTATTTTATCTTTTTTTTGGTTTTATGATGTTTAGTAACGCAGAAATTTCTACCTGTTAATGGAGATGATCATTCGCGGAATAAGGCATACATTAGTAGTCCTGCAAATCATACACATACTACACCTAAATCTAAACGTACTTCGTCCGGAGCAACTGGTTCTCGTTCAATAACATCACCTAGACGGCGACCATTGCCTAATTCAAATCGAAATGAGCGAAATGCTGATTTACATTCCAGTAGATCTGTTGTGGTAGACCAACAGAATTGCATGAATCGTAGTAATAATAATAGTAATAACAATACAATGACACACATGAAACAAGGATCTAATCGTAATTCTGTAATTGCAAATAACAATGGAGTTGAAGGTGAACATGAGGTTAGTAACTACTGAAGTGGATTTCTGCCATTGTTAATGTGCATAAATATCGTGTAATTGTGATCGACAACCTTGTTGAATAGTTTGTAAAGTTTAGTTGAATTCGCAGCAGAAACTGTTTCAAGAAATATTTAATCTCAAGCAAACTGATTCCATTACGACTATAGATATACATTGCTGACGAGTAGCAACCAGGACTAAACTTAAGTTCAGGCTTTCATACCGATTACCTCCGATCACTTAATTTTAAAAATCCTATTCATTAAATGTTGGGTCAGTGAGACTGGTGGTGGTCACATTGCTAATTGGTCGACAAAATTCGATCACCATAACTAAGGAATGAAGAAACGTGACATTTGTGATCAGTCAGTTTTAGTAAATCAGTATTACAGGTGGCCAGTCACTTCGTGAATAGTTATATCGTAAACTATGAAGTTGGGTGATTTGAATTTGATTCCTACAAGAACGCTTCAGTTCCCTCAAGATTGCAAGTATCCTTTGCTAACGAGAATCAGCTAGTACGGGACATAGGCCAACTCAGGATTTACTGTCTATCCCCACCTAATATTGATGTATAATAATGTTAAGCCGATATTCGATAGAAAGTGTTAGGCGACAATAAAGATATTATTATGTTATAAACGCATGTCTCTCTTAACAAAAAACATTGTTCCCAGTAACTTCTCCTTTGGTTCTACAGTTATGCGTTTAAATTAATGTTCTGAGTGGATAATCAAACTATTAGGCCAAAAAATCTCTTGAAGGCTACAGGATATGATTTTAAGATTGTCTGTTGAAGAACTTGATCAGGAATTATTGAAAAGAGTATTTATTCTTCGTTCATATATTTAGATAATTATTCCTTCCCAACATAGTAGGAGAAACCTATTGGCCTTTCGGGAAATTAGATGAACTTTGTAAAGAGAGTGCGACTGGCTACTGGAGAAAGCAAAGCAAACGTACTCATTTTAGTACACTTCGCAGTCTTTATGTGTATTTAGGGATTGTGATATCAGTAGTATGGGATTTAACTTTACCCACACTGCGTAGTGCAGACAGACATATGCTGGCCTATACTACACTTTTTTATCACTTTCGAAAGCTTTTATGCAAACGAAAAGCGCTGATGAGCTGTTTATGAGTTCATCAATGGAGAAACGTGGGACTTTGTCCCAAGTATGTTGTATATGCACATATTTGAACTTACATTCAGCGATGCAAACATTCCAGTGATACACATATAGTCATAGATGGGGTGCGGTTGCTAGTATGCCTTACATTTAGTTGTGGAATGCGCAAACAAGTTCACTCATCCTACAAGTATATATAGGTGTAGAAGTTTCCACTCATAAATATTTGTTACATGCACATGTAGAACGCATAGACTGAAGCCCATACACTCCGTAGGATACATATAGGTTTAGATGCAATTATTCCAGGTCATATCCCACTAGATTCTATCACTGGATGAATATTAAGCACTCAAATCATTATACAATTAGGTCGTCGTAGACGATATGTTCACTTCACGCTCATACTACAAGCAGTTTTAGTGTTAACCCTTATGCACTGGTTACGGCACAGTTTATGACGAACACTCTAACCCATTCCTCCCGGACCTTATGAGCCCTTACAGACAGAATCTGTTCTCTAGCACTACAATCACCCTCTCAATTCAAAGTTAACCTCTCTCTTTCTAAGCAAAAATTAAGATAGAGTGAATGATTAGCTCGATCATCATTGGTTTCATCAGAGCGGGTGATCAGTCAGGTCTTTGCTTTGCCGCTTGCGTTAGTTCATAAATAAAAAGAACATCCACTATCCAATGAGCACTACAAGGAGTGCAAGTCGAACTTATAACCCCCCCCCATAAACTCTGCATAGAATATCGTTCACATTCTGAGTTTATAAAAATACATCTTCTATCCGACATAAAAATACAACTGAAATAATCTCAACTCCTACTTCATTGAATTATCATTTCTAACTGATTTTTTTCTTTCAACTATTAAATATGTATATATGTGTATATTTATTATACATTATTATTTCAATTTATTAAATAGGGTGTTCAAAAAGCATTTAGTAGTGAAGAACTTACACAAGAAATGGCTAATTTAGAAGGTTTAATGAAAGATCTTAGTGCTATAGCTCAAGAAGAATTTAATTGTTAATATTTTCACTAGAAATATAAATATCATTTATTATTATCATTATTATTATTATTATGTAATTATTGTAATTGTTGAGTTGTTTTTGTATTTTCTTCAAAATGAAATTGCATTTTATTTTAATCGGGATAATGATGGTGATATAAGTTACTTGTACATTTATGCACAATATCAATCATGATATAGATACTATATTTGATTATTTTCCTCCCTTTCTCCCCTCTCCCTGTATGTATGTATGTGTGTGTGTGACATAATTATTGATTCAAATCAAAATCTTTGTATATTTAGAATGTAACAATACCTCAATGCGTATGCTCAACATATTTATTATTCTCTTATTCTTGTTTATACTTATTTCAATTTATTAACATCTATGGTATTAATTTCCTATTATATTCATTTATTTATGTATCTGTTTTAAGGTTGTCAGCTTACTACTATTGTGCAATTTCACTGCTCTCTACTCTCTTCTGTAAAACAGAATCATCAGTTCATAATACTTTTCAATAAAAAATAGCTGATGGAAATGATCTAATTCCCGATTTTTGTTTCTTTAGTGTTTTCTTTTTCTATTTTCAGATTTACTCCTACCCTTACTCATTTTCTGTTTGGGCATCTATTTTTTTTATATCGATTATCCTTGATATGTATGAAGTTGCTTCTTTACTGTTCGTTCTAATGACATTCATTTATCTCTCTCGTCATTTTCGGTGATTTCCTGTTACTACTTATTTTAAGATAAGTAGTATATATGTATTACACATAAACTGTTGAATATATTTAGGGAATTTATGATTTTTAATCTAAATTTTTCATTCTCTCGTTAGGTTTTGTTATTTTACTAATACAGCATTTTTTTAAAGTTTATCTTTTCCTTTTTAAAAAATGATGTTTAAATAATGAGACCATGACCATTTTTGTCTGTGCTGATTTTTGTATTGTAATTATTCATGGTATACATTCTTCGTTTAACTATCCCCCCCTCATCACTCTTCATCTTCTTTCTCTCTGTCTTGATGTTTCTTGTACACTTTATATTGTATTCTGTTTCTTTTTTGTTTTTGTTTTTTTTTGTTTCCTAAACGAATTGGTTATTCCTCCGAAAGGAATACAATATATGAATCAATAGTAATGATAATGTATATTTTCGTTTATCTTTGCTTTGTGTATCCATCACATTTATGTACAGATCAACAATAAATTATTCTACTCAAAAAATGAGTTTCCGTTCTTTTATTCCTGTTATATACCATATGAATTTCTACAAACTAGTTAATCAATTAATTATGGTTTATGGGTAAAAATAAACAGCGGGATAATTCAAATGTTTATTAATAATGATCTAAAAATCGTACCTGTTACACAAGCTAGTGGCTGACGTACTGTATGTTTAAGGCGATGTGTACTATATCTGAACTCCTATGTAACCATCAACACTGAAACGCAGATACATCTAGCCAATAATTTATAAATAGGATGAAACTCGTATCCGCTATTCCTTCTACCATTGACTTCAACTCTGGACATACACAGTAAGTAACTGTGTCGAATAAAGTATTGTTTAACCTGCAATTTAGTTCCTCATTAATGATCGTCAGTTTGGTATCTGGTATAACATGATCTCCAGCCTGTATACCGTATCAATCGAGTATCCAGTCTTGTGATAGCATACCCTTGATCACCTGTCCCTGTTATTGTATTATAATAGTATATGATAGCTACGAAGCGAAAAATTCATTCTCCCAGTACTCTCAGAATATGAGTGGGGTTTGACAACTCATGAAATAACCGAAACGTATTTTATTTCATTGTTGGCCAATCAAAAACTTATTATTGATGAATGGTTTGTGGAAAAAATGTACGTATCTACTAAAGTTTGCTGCATACGTTTTTATTTGTAAGTCGAAATAGAAATATTCATTCGTCCATATGGCTGTAAAATTCTATATTGTCGAACTTTTTGAAAGATGTAAAGCGTTTGTTGAGATTTCCCCACTCTGTTCGTAGTTAGGTTTAGTAATTACTAGTTAAAGTTGATTCATATATTATATACTCTCTACATAGAAAACATTCAGCGCTTTTCAAATTTAACACTATCACTCTCATTCTTCTACATAATTTTAAACATTCTAAATACTGCAAAGGCATTTCTGTTGTTACAATGGACTATCTTATCTATCAACACTGTGTGACTCTTGAGAATTACAGTATAGAGTAACGAGAATATTTCGTTAATTTATTGGAAGACTGACGTGATTAAACATAAATTCCAGCAGAAGAAATTTACTCTTCGCTTAAACTCATTTTTTGAACTTATACCTTGCGAAGTTTGAAGTACCTTCTTTGATTTCGCTAACGAACGTCTAACGTTACTGTCGATCTAGTTCTTTTATTATTATCTCATTCAAGTCTGTTAGCTATCTTGAAGATACTTGAATCTCTTCATCATTCAACTTTAACTAGTGCAAATTACTGAGTTAGACCATTAATATGTAACTTTAGCAAATTAACGGAGCATAGATCGAAATATTTAGTTGTAAACAAAAATTTTTTAGAAATATATCAACGAAGAGCATCGTTGATGAACTGAGATGTTACTGAAAATGTGTCTGAGATTGACGCTTTCCGGTTGCTGAGACTATGAAAATATGTTTTTTATTGAAAAAAAATAATACTTTCCCGACTACAGATTCAATGGAACAGCTGCTTGAGACCGTTTACAATTGACCTATCTTTATTGACATATCACATTCCCAACAGATATCCGTGTGTTAAGGTAAGATGTGGTGTTTTTAGATCTAATCTCTCCTATTTTACAAACTAATCGTCATCTGAGATCCTGTTCATCACAATTACTATTGTCGACAGTAGAATTTTACACTTTCTACCTTTAATCTTATTCCTTGTCATAATAGGGTATTAAAGAACAAGTTTTCAAGTCAACATAGATCCATCTGACTTTTATGATGTACAATACCTATCACTACATCAAGATAACATTTATAATCAAGAAAAAACAGATTTTTCAGCTTTCAACAATACAGAATAGAGTTTTATCAAATAATTCATTTTACAATAAATCAGATCTTCATTATCTTAATATAATTGCTTTATGGTAATTTGGTTCCCTGATGAGATATATCTTTACTTACAGTAGCATATATAAGATCATTATACCTGATAAGTTGCAGTAAACAAAATGAACTCTAGATAAGCAACCTTTACTGTTCCTGACTTTAGTTAGTTAACACAACTGACCGAATTCAATGAATTCCAATCATTTTTAGATTTATCGATTGAGATAATGAACCGATTGATGTTAGACCACCATTGGAAACCTGAAAGCACTGGACGGTCGTTTCATCCTATTGCGGGACTTCTCAGCAGTGCCCATCCACGATCCTGCTCTCAAGATTCGAATCCAGGGCCTTCAGTCTCGCGCGCGAACGCTTAACCTACTGGACCACTGAGCTGGTATCCAATGGTGTTAGTGTCTAACTTCAACCAATCCAGAAAATGAAAATCATGCAACTAGAAAACGTATTGTTTAGTGGATTAATTTAGATATTGTTAATGAGTATACGTTAAGTAGTTGGTTTTTAATAGTTTGTTTTTTTTCTACATTTTCACAATTAATAACTTCTTGTTACTCATTAGTTGTTGTTCTAATGATAAATTATAGTGATTTAACTTGGTAACAAAAGTATCCTAGTTACATCATTCATTATGATTTATTATTCCTAATGTGTCTTAATTAATAATTTACTAAAATGAGAAATCGTCTAACCTATTGGTTGGATTGTAGTGTGTGCTACTGGTATCAACAGATATAAGTAATATATATGACCAATCGAAAGTGGAATACCTTATGACAAAAGGTTGAGAAGAACGAAAAGAAAAAGAGAATGAGAACAGTGAATGATTAGTATAGAAATGAAAATAAGTATAAGACAATTTATGAACATTTTACTGTTATAACTTGTGGTTTTGTACCCTTGGTTCTTTGTTTTTACCCTGTCGCCAATTGTTATAACGCTCGGTTTTACTTCGTCTAATGTTATAACGGTTGGCTTTCCACGTTTACACGTATGGGACGTTAATTTACCTTAAACAATTATCTACACTAGATTCCGTCCCAGTGTCTATTCTACAGGATGTCAACACAACTCAGATCAAGAACACATGATTAGCCTAATCACAACATAAATGTATTTCCACACCAAAAAACCCGACACAATCCAAGAACAATGAACAATCAATAATAAGTGAGTCGTAATAATAATAAGGACAGAGGCAATGTATAACTCATCTGACACCTGTCAGACTATCTACATGTCTGACTAAACAGACAGTCAATCATCATCAATCTCGCCCACACATTTACAATAAAGTATTTACTTTATGGTTCTCAGATTTTACTAAGATACCCCTAAACTGACAATTACCATGTGCTCACTAGTGACTAGCCTCGTGAGAAAATTCTCGGAGTTCTAGAGAGAAGCCGTGATCAGTGAAGCTAATCCCTGTAGGGTAGAAACAGGTATCTATCTCAGTACAATGGAAGATGGTCGCGCAACTTCGTGGATTGGTTGAGTTTAGACACTAACACCATTGGATACCAGCTCAGTGGTCCAGTAAGTTAAGCGTTCGCGCGCGAGACTGAAGGCCCTGGATTCGAATCTTGAGAGCAGGATCGTGGATGGGCACTGCTGAGAAGTCCCGCAATAGGATGAAACGACCGTCCAGTGCTTTCAGGTTTCCAATGGTGGTCTAACATCAATCGGTCCATGATCTCAATCAAAATCTTAACAATCTCCACAACCCCTAAACTGATATTTTGTAGTGTTTTACATTTGGTTATCTCCATTGATGTTCCCCTTCCCTTTAGTATGATAAATGTACTCGTATGAAATTATTAAACTTTGTATGAATATAACAAACAACGAAACATTTAGAGTATTTTAATTATATAACAGTTTCTAATTATAATTACAAAATATCGTAAATTACATATGCAATACTTTTATATATTGAAATTAATCTATTCATGCATGTCAATTCTAATTGTATTAACACAGTTTAAAATGACCATAACGGTAAGTTGAGTATCTTAGTTCCCTACAAAAGATTTGGGGGGGGAAGGGAAGAAAACACATTACATATGAAATAAATGATAGTACGATATTAAGAATAATACAATTTAGTTACTTATCAAAGTTATCACATAACAGTTCGTCAATTATTACCGATAATAATGATAGTTATTTTAGTGTAAAAAGTTGTAAAGATTCTTGAATTGTACAGTTCTATATTATGAATGAACGTTGATAAAATAATTATTCAGAACTAGGAAATTGAATATGACTTTATATACTTGAAATTACACAACAATATTGATTGACTCAGTCAGTCAGTTAGTCGTGAAGATAAGAGAGTTAATAGGTGTAGGAAGGATTTGAATGTGACCAACTTAGTCTCGTGTTCTGTTACGTGTATGAGGGCTGATATCACTTCCCGACTGCCTACACTGTGGAAGTTTGACCACAGAGTGCAAGGGACAACTACTTGAGGCCGGTCGCGCACGGTCTATTTGTGGGAAGTTTTTAACGTGTTATCTCCGTTCTTCAAAGGGCCTTACAGTCGGAGACAGAAATCCGTGGGGTAAGGTGAGGTGTGACATTTTTAGGGTCGACCTTTTCTAACCCCTTCCTTTCATGTGAGAAGGCAGCATCGCTGAAGATGCTGGTTGTCCGAGGGAAACACCTTACTGCTGTCACGCTCCTCTACAATCAGCAGTACGACTTCGCCCTCAGACCTTGAGTTGCTGCTTTTAGTCTTACCTTTCTCCAATTGACCTGCCTGGCATGATAAAACCTACAGGAACATATGTTTCAGCCAATATAGGTCGGTTGGGTCATCACGATAGACAAGCCCGACCACCACGTTAAGATAGCAGCTACGGTCGGGACTGATTGACTTCATTCATATCAAGCATCAAACATAATCTGGATGGTGAAAATGAAGAATTTTTTTATCTTGGTTTTAAACAATAAATATGTATTTCAACCATCGATAGATGGTAAGTTTGGATAAAAATTAAACCACTCCCACTCAAAAAATTTGCTAAACATCATAATGTCAATACAATGCTCTTTGATAATCAATAATTAGACTTTTTCTCACCTTGGTAACCTAGCTGAATTAGATTTGCGAAAATGTAGTAGTTTATGACAGGTCAATCACTCAAGTATATCTAGCTTAGTGATAATAAATGTTCAAATTAAAACTATCCGATAAGTTTTAATTTAAGGATGATTTGTTATAAATGATTCGTTTTAATCATACTACTCACTAATAGTTTTACTGCATTTCCTTTTTTATTTGAAAATTTAGTTGTCTTCAGGAACTGTCACACATCTCAAAACATTTATGACGTTAATTCCAAGAATCCCAGTCAGATAATCTGTACCGATCAATATGGCTCAAACTAATAGTTAGTTATATGACAAACTACTTTAGATCTTGGTTTGGACATTCCTACTTTTTTTCTAACTTCAACCAACGTCAAGCTAACATCTACTTTATTGAGAACGAATTTAGCTTATGTCATTCAACAACTTTAATCATAGATTTGTAATTTTTTGGTTCCTGAATTAGAATCTTGCATTTTCTCAGCAAAGTTCTCATAAATAATCAATGAATTTCTAAACTAATTCTATGTTTTCATTTGATCAATTTCAATTTTATATCAGTATGGTTTTTGTGCATATTATAGTAATTTCAATGGTTGAGAGCATGAGTCAATTGAAGCTAGATCACCATGGAAAATCTGAAAGTACTGGACTGGATGCAATAATAATAGGCCCTGGGTTCGAATTTCTTAAGCCGGAATTGTGGATGCACATTGCACATTGCTGAAGAGTCCTACAATAAGATTAAAGGGTCGTCCAGTGCTTTCAAGTTTTCTATAGTGGTCTAGTTTCAATTGACTCATGATCTCAACCATTAACATTTCAATTTTATCAAATTCTCAAATTACTAAAATAAAATAAAATAAAACAATAAATTTTTAAATTCACTTACTGATTTATTGATTAAAGAATCTGTTTACCAAATTTACTATGAAATATCACATTCACTTTACTTGATTTTGAAGTAGACTCTTCAAAATTCATAGATTCTGTATAAGGTGGACAGTATAAGTGTAATGTAATAGCAGTTTCTGTTTTACTGAAATTCTGTAAACGATGTATTCCAATTTTATCTATAAAATAAATAACATAATAAATCAATAGTAATTCAATTGTTATTTTAATGATTTTAAGAAAATAAGTTGAACTTGAAATGATAGATGATTGATTGAGGTTAAGTAATATCAGCTATGTTGTGTATGATATAATTATATATCATAGTCAATGTAAGATAATTATGTAATATGTATAAATTGATTGAAGTTGAACATGTAGATTATTCAATGCAAGTTTAGTGGTGTAGTGGTGAAGAAATCCCCAAAATAAATAGCTCTGTAAGTTTTCGATATTGGATGCTGACAACATTAGTTTTAATGGACGCACACTTAGCTGAAGGTGCTCGGTCATGCATCCACACCAGATCACCAGTGGGAACGCCGTGCTCAACATCCCGTGCAATAGTTAGCCAGCTTAGATCAGTCGATTCACGATATATTGATAGTCTATCAAATATATCTTTGAACCTCCTCGTTTCTGTCTTTTGATTTCACTTGGTGGATACGGTTCATAAAAGGTGTCACTGGATAAAACGTTGTCAAACTCCGAATACCTGTCGTATCTTCAGTGATCTAGAGGTTAAACGTTCACGCTTGTGACCAAAACTCTTGAGCTTTATCCTTTGTAATAGGGTAGTGAGTAACTTCTTCTGAGATGTCCCACAATAAGATGAAACAATCATAAAGTACTTCTTGGTTCTCAATGGTAGTCTAGTTAAGATCGGTTTATAATTTAACCTATGAAATAACTACAATCTTCACAAACTCTCTTATTCTAGTAATATCAAATCGTTCAATGTCTGTGACATCTAAATAAGATCTAGCAGTATGGAAGATATAAAGGTTATACATCTACATCACAGTGAGATAATTGTTAGACGTTATCATTTGTTAGTATTTTTAAATGTCTAATGGAATATAACTGAGAGATATGTTCCATACTATAAGTATGTCCTTGTGATTTTAACCAAACTCACTCCTGTTTAATATTTAAAATAATTTTGTGTACTTGATAAACCATAGTCTATGACTGTTCGGATTGATTGATGTGATATACTATCTAATGGCGTATTATGGTACTTGAATGTAGTGTTTTGATAAGAGGTGGTTGATTAATTTGAACCACTTAACAGTTACCCACTGGATCGCAGTTTTTATTGTTACTTGCAATGATCTGTAGTTTCATATAGTTAATATTCAGGTTTGCATTATCATTCCCTATTGGCTTATTAACTTTTGAAGTTGATGAACCAATATTCTATAGTAGCTACTAGTTGACAATACTTTATATACTATTCAACAGTGGGTCTCAGGTTTTGAATTTCGTCTTATTTGTAGCTCATCAGCTTGATGTACCGAGATCCCAATGTTGATATTCTATAGGAAAATGTAGACTCCAAATATTAATAAATTATCAGGTACTTGCATTATTCAAATTTCTTTAAGAACATCTATATCTCTTAAAATAAACTAATCTAAGATAATGTCACCTGGTTTTCCATAACAGATGTTGAGGATTCTGTCACAGTACACAAAATACTTGTACCCAGTTCATGAACAAATTGTAACGCTATACAAAAAGTTACAACATGAACGATCCAGAGAGTTTGGTCACACATAAGTGTCTCATTTGCTCTTCTTTCACTCTATATAGTTGAATTACCAGTGAACTAATGTGGTAGATATGAATCCAGATATTCTCATTTTCGTTATTCCTTTTATGGATATCTATGACTAATTATCAAGTTAATAAAGATTTTTTGAATTATACAGTTAATAAATCAGCTAAATGTTAGTTAAACTAGTGGTTCCTACATTTAAGTGATTGTTGAACTAAGGTCACTAAGTAATGTTAGCTAAGTAGCTTGTAAGTGGATAGAGCTCAATGGATAACCAGGTGGAGGTATTTGAAATGATAGGTACTAGGTTGAAATCCCGGTGTAGACATTAAAACGGATGCAAATACATCTATTTTCAACTAGTCCCAGATAAGACAAAACGAGTATTTGGTATTCTACTGCTAATCATTACCTATGTATGTACTTTATCTATATTTCCGGTTTTTGGTTGGGTTTATGGTCTAAACGTTGTTTTTTCAAATAGTCTATGTACTTGAACTACTGGAAGTCAATTATCAAACTGAACCGGTCTATCTGGAATATTTTACAAGTAACAATATGTTAATACTAATGGATGTGAGTAATTACAATGAAACTGTTGCTTCTGTCGGTCGATTAAATTTTTACAAAAAGAACATTCTGATATCGAATTTTCTTTAAAAAAATAATGAACAAATTAAGTTATCATAAAATATAGATGGCAGATTATTGAAGTTTTAAACAAACATTCAACTTACCATGCATATAGGTGACTTCACCAGGATTCATTACAGTTACTGATTTCACCACTAATGGAGAATCAGTTTCATCAGTAGAGTTATATGAATTTTTTGAATTGAAATGTTTTGGCCAATCGTAAATAGTTTCTTTTATTTGACCTAAATGTATAGATTAAACACTTAGTTAATAATGTTCTAATTAAGGTAAATAAATCTTTGCTCTTATTCTTATCAAAAGTTATTAGGTATAACTTTATGTATATGATTATAAGTTATATTCTTTTATGTATGGGTTGTCGATAGGTTGAGAGAGTGTAGACATGGCATGCTGCTGTGTTTATATGTCACATCAAAGTAAAACTGCAGGTGAGATACCATGGACAAATTACGCTATTGGAAGAAGTCAGTCTCAACTTGTTCGCTCTTGTTTGGATCTAAAGAAGAATTGTATATACATACTTATGATTCATATAAGTTATATTTCAGTTCCTATTAACTTTAATTTTCTTATTTGTGTAATAGCTTTGTCCTACACACGAAAGGCGACTACATCGAACCATAAAACACGTCGATTAGTGATACTATGCGGTTGATCAAACCAATAAAATACATGAAGTCATGAAACTGTAATAATCACTAATCTATTACTTAAATACGAATATAACAAATAGATAGTTGCATAAGCATAGTAACGTAAAACTTAGTTCAAGTAGAATGGATTGATTCATATTTGTTACATGTTATGCAACCACAAAAAGTAGAAAACTGAGTAAAGATTAGTCTGTAATAAAATAAGCCATAATGATATTAGTAAAGGAATGAAATTAAATAAAGAATAACTAAATATAATGATTGATTGAGCTTATCCATACTTTGTAATCCATGTTGCATCGCAAAATCTAATAATGCGAGCCTATGATGTGTATTATTCTAAGGACTCTATCCAGAAAACCTTCATTTACTTATTCAACTCACATTAATAAACCGTAACTACATGAGAACATGGGATGTTCTCTTCTGAACTCATATAGCCTTTTTATTTAAAACTGATCATACGATAGAACATCAAAGTAGACATAGATTTGATAATCATAACAGTTAATTCAGCAATCAAATCGGTCTAATGGTTATTGGAAAATTAAAGTATTTACAATTGATAAATCATCGAGTTTTCTCATAGTTGAAATCTTGAGTCGATCTAAACTAAACCACCAGTGAAACCTGGAATTACTGGACAGCCGCTTCGTCCTATCACAGGACTCCTCAACAGTGCGCATGAACGTTTAATGTCTAGACCACTGAACAGTCATGCAACGGTGTTAATGTTTGATTTCCATCAATCCATCATCTTGCACAACCTTCTATCCATTGCCTAAGGTGAATAACCGTCCAACACCTGAATCACTGAGTAGCGAACAATGTTGTGTTTGTCAACTCTGTTTTAGTCCTGACTGAATTCTATCAATCGTCAGAATTGGTTAATTAACAAAAGTTAAAATCATTATATCATATGAAAAGTCAACACTTGTAATTAAAGAATGTGTGTGTAACTTTGATTCAATGATGTAATTGTATAAAGAATATTCAAAAAAATTCCACCATAGAAATAGAAAACAATTTTTTGATTGATTTTTATTATCGAAAAAAGAAATCTAAATATTACCTTTTATAATTTTGACAAAACAATCAGATCCAGCATGATCATGTACTCCTGTTCCTTGATCTTCACTCCAGCATAATAATAACAGATTGTACTTTCCATTGCCTTCATCTATCAAATTACGTGTATATCTAATATTTATTTAAGAAAGAAAAAAAAGAGGAATGAAGATGTGTTGACGAAAAACGAATAGGTCACTAAGTCGGCATTCAACGGTGTTAATGTCTAACTTCAACCAATCCATGAAATTGCGCCACCGTAAACCATTGTGTTCAGTGAGTTGATATCTCACAACAGACCTGGTTGAACTCCATCGGTCATGGCCTCTCACTAGAACCCCAGGAATGTCTCTTAAAGTCAGTCACTAGTGATAGGTTCTATCTATAGGTCCTGGGTTCGAATCTCGCGGAGGGGGGATCGTGGATGCGCACTGCTGAGGAGTCCCATACTAGGACAAAACGGCCGTCCAGTGCTTCCAAGTATTCCATGGTGGTCTACCTTCAATTGACTCATAATTTCAACCAGTGAAATTTCTAAAATCTCTACAAAATCCCATCTGATATTAAACAAATAAGTTAACTTACTTTGTTTTATTATAAAATATATATTTACTCCATTCTGAGAAATCACATTGAAAATACTCTAAAATTGTATGTACTTCATTAATATCAATATGATCTTTATTAAATACACTTCTTATTGTTTTAATCAAATCATTCAATGTAGAAATAATTGGTATTTTATATTCTTTATTTGATTGATAAAGATTTATAGAATTTAAATGATTCATTATAGACAATTGATTACTACTCATTATAATAAATTAAGTAGTATAATTTTGATGTGTTGTATTATGTATTCTGAGTTGCTGTTAAAAAAAAAACAATAACAAGCAAAAAAATTCTAATGTTACCATGGTTATTTATAGCTGATGGAGAAACGTTATAACAACATGTGATTGTGTTATTATTAAGAAACTTCTGGTCAATATCCATATGATTATAATAATCAATTAATTATGGGTCTGTAACACATGTTTAATCATTTGGCATAAACTTATGATGTAATAAATAGAAAAGAATAGATGCTTGACTTTTAATTGAGGCTTATATGATGGAATTATTATTATTATTATTATTATTATTATTATTATTATTATTATTATTATTATGGAAGCATTTTCACCTTGTTGTTGTTGTTGTTGATTAGACCGATTATTAGTTCATTTGACTATTTTGACTGTATTAAAACTGATGAATGAAATGACCTTACTGTTAGCCAAATAAAAACAACAACAACGAAAAATAACTTGTGTTTGAATTATACATGGTAGATTCATTCTATATGAGTTGATCAGTTTAGAATGTTGACCAAAAAAAAAAAACAACGATCCATCTCTGTGTATTTTTTATAGTGTAAATCGGTTATTGTATTTGGGAGGTGAGTGTTAGGCTTATCTTTCTCTCTCCCTCCCTCCCTCCCTCTCTCTCTCATGTACTGTGAACAGAGAATGTTTTGGAAATATACAGTTTGACCAAATGATTATCTGAATTTGTAAATGAGATCGCAAATGTCTAGAATCATTGTTCAAATCATCCGGTTTGATATGTTACAAGGACAATAACAAATTCTATTGACATATTTGTCATATGTTAATATTTTTTAAAATTTTTTTCTAATATTAAACCTGAAACAGTTAAATGTTAAAAACAACAATAAAAAGTAACCATGTCATTGAAAGTTTTCATTATTTTTTTTCTGAACAAAATCATAATGTTGAGTGAAATATAAAAGTTTCATAAGTAAACTATTCAATTTAGAGTGTAGATTATTATTATTATTATTATTATTATACAACATTGGTTTGGAATCAGGGTTTTCCAACTCCCCAAGGTGGACCCCCCGTGTTCACCAACTTGATTAAAGTGCCAGAGATTCGCTTATCGTCCTATCAATTTCAGAAACAACACCCCTGCCGTGAGAAGGCAATGAGTAGGACTTCCCTGATAGTGGCCATATGAGAGCATTTTGAAAAGGAGAGCGGACTCTCCCCACTCTCGGCCTTACCAGGGCATTTGGTGGCTTAGAGTGTAGAAATCTTAAGTTTCCTAAGCCATAAAAGTCTTGAATACAACAAGATGGAGAACATCATATTTGATAACGAAACTCTGGAAGATTTGGAAACTTCCGTGTAATTGGTAAGTATCGTCAATGAATAAGGAGGATCGGATGTAGACGTAAAGACGATGATTGGCAAAATAATAACAGTATTCCTACAATTGAAGAATATAGGAAACTCAAAACAACTGTCTGTTAACCAATATTAAAGTCACAATCTTTAATACGAACGTCAAGATAGTTCTACTGTACGCAACTGAAACGTGGAGAACTATTACAACCATCATCAAGAAGGTACAAGTATTTATATATAGTTGTCTACGCTTGATACTCAATATCCATCAGAAACAATCTATTGTGGATGAAGACACAAAAGCTGAGGAGGAAATTAGGAAAAGACTTTGGAAGTGGATAGAGCATACACTACGGAAATCAACAAACTGTTAAAACTTTTAGATTTGTGCTTCTATCAATGCATAACATAATGATACCAACAATTAGAGAACAGTGAATTATCGATCGGATCAATGACGCGTAAACCTGTATGAGCAGTCTAGAGTCCCTATTGGTCCTGCTTCCTGTCTAGCCCAGCCAGTTAAGTCTAGAACATCAATCTCAGCCTCCATGATATCAATCATTTAATTCAAGCAGACTGCGTTTATATACCAATCAAACACACCACAACGTTACCATACAATAGAAAATAACATTTGTACAAGATTTATCCAAAAGTGGCTGTGAATATGGGAGGTAGTGATTAATAGACAGGGAATAATTCAAGAATGGAAAATCGTATAATAACAGTTCCTAGGTCACAATAAAGCTTATGATAAGAGGAACACGAATATGAATAATTTAGTTACTTAACAATTAAACGATAAAAATTTATGCATAGTATTAGTCCCAACAGTTACCATTCATTATTCTCATCGGGATATAACACAAACTGTATCACGAGGCAAGCTCTAACTTGGAATCTTGAAGGGAAACTGATAAGAGAAAGACCAAAGAACACATTGCATTGGGAATGAGAAACAGACATAAAAAGGATCAATAGCAACTGGAAAGGATTGCCTAGGACAAGGATGGATGAAGAGTGCTGGTGGGAGGCCTGTGCTCCCCAACGAGGAGTAACAGGCGTAAGTAAGTAAAGTTGTGTGTTTATTAAGTCGGTCGATATACATTAAATATTAGTTTCAAATGACTTACTTACCCAGAAATAACTGAACGATACTGATACTAGAAAAAAATAGTGGTAATTTTTATGTGATGACTTTAGAATACCGTGCTATATTGATTTTATTCTAATTACAATCATTCATATATCTGATCGTCTTTAATAGATAAATCTAACCAATTATTTGTTGAATAACTTTTAATTTCCATATAGAAATTATAATTTATTGGATCAACCTTTTGACCCGATCAAATTGTTCATTATTTCGTAAGTGTGATTGTTTAAATAACAGTTATAATTGACCGGTTAAATGCTCAATGATTGAGTTCAGTTATCAAATATGTTATAAATTCGATTTGTCTATTCATTTATTAAATTAATTATCGATCATCTATACTAATTAAATCATTTTTCTTATTGTTAATTTGTTCTGTTATATGTTATGTAATTGGAGTAATGTGAAACATGTGAATCATTATCATGGGGGGTGTTATGCAGATTGTTTAATTTTATAACGGACTTTATGGATTCTCATTTAATGGTTGAATGGTTAATCTGTCGTTATATGAACTGAAGATTGAAAGTTCAATCCGTTGCTTTAGGGTCCTGGATACACACTGTTAAGCAAACCCATACTAGAACGAAACAACTGTCTAGATTATAATTTTTTTTTCGATAGACTAACGTCTAATTCTTTAATCGATTACATGCTTAGTTTAACAACAATTAACTTTAACCTATGATTGAGATCATCTAAAAGTCTATTAATCTTAGATATAGCTATCTCTTTTTACCCTAAGTATTCAATTTAATAAGAGAATATGATAAGCAGAATAGATTCCTATTACCTATTCACCATTATAGATCAAATCTATACAATAAAATAGAATGAATTACTGATTACATTCCAAACATAAATAAGGAAGTAATATTTTGTGCATAACTATTCTATACATAGAATAGAGAAACTGAGTAATAGGTCTGTAGTTCATTAAAAAATTATTTAAGAAAGGTATAATGAACAGAACTGTAATTGATAGGCTTACGATCAAGAGTTGGGAATAGAAACTATATGATTCAACTTCCATTGATTATCGAAATCTGAAAATAGAACAAACTACTTACTTAGAATACAGAGAATATCTTAAGAAACACTATAAACTTCAAGAGTTTTCTCATCGAAATGATTATTTCAGTAATATTATATATGTAACACAGAAACAGGGTACTCGATACAGCTAGCTAGGTTTTCCCTCTAAAGCGTCAGATTTCATTGTGAACAAAATCAATACATACAATACTGCAACTTCGTTGAAGCAGTACAACGTTTTTGAGTGTATTCCAAAAAGACTTAGAACAACAACAAAAAAAGAACGACCTTAAATAGTGCAATTATTAAACATTTCTTGAATACAGAACATCAGATCGACACCTTGCAATCTTTCAAGGTGATTAATAAATAGTCACATTCAAGTCTTCTGAAATTTACTGAAGTCGTTTTTATCATCTGCCAAGAGGAGATGGTTATTAATCTTCCCTTTGTTGCATCTTAAAACTTTTTCTGTGTTAACTCTGTTTTTGTTATGTCCCGATGAGAATAATGAACGGTAACTGTTGGAACCTATTTCTGGACTAGTAATATACGTATATTTTTATCGTATAATTGTTAAGTAACTAAATTATTCATATTCGTGTTCCTCTTATCATAAGCTTCATTTTGTTTTATGGAATATTATTATACGATTTACCATTCTTGAATTATTCCCTGTCTAGTAATTACTACCTCCCACATTCACAGCCACTTTTGGATAAATCTTGTACAAATGTTATTTTCTATTGTATGGTAACGTTGTGGTGTGTCTGATTGGTATATAAACGCAGTCTGCTTGAATTAAATGATTGATATCATGGAGGCTGAGATTGATGTTCTAGACTTAACTGGCTGGGCTAGACAGGAAGCAGGACCAATAGGGACTCTAGACTGCTCATACAGGTTTACGCGTCATTGATCCGATCGATAATTCACTGTTCTCTAATTGGCGGTATCGTTACGTTATACATTAACAAGGCACGCAGGTCACAAGTTATAGCAATTTCGCATTTATTACATCACTGAGTTTTTATTTCAACTATCTTTCAGATTAGTAATCTTATTTTATTAACTGAGCTTTATTCATTTTATTCCTATTAGCGTTTACTCATTATGTAACCACTTGTTGCTGGCCGTTTGAAATGTTGTTATATTCAATGTTTTAGAATTTTCTGTTACATAACGTATATATTTACAATATTTCATTCAGTCTATTAAATTTATTTACACTCTTCCTATATTAGTTACAACCATCATTAAGAAGGTACAAGTATTTATCAGCAACTGTCTACGAAAGATAATCAATATCCACTGGCCGGATGCCATCAGAAACAGTCTATTGTGGAAGAGAACAAACCAACTTCCAGCTGAAGAGGAAATTAGGAAAACACGATGGAAATGGATAGGACATACATTACTCAAATCATCA